TAAATAAATAAATAAATAAAAATGAATTGTGTGATTATTTTAAAAACAAAGATTATGTGATAACGAGTCACATCATCTTGAATAATGTGTAATACCTAAGGGTACTCTATTGCTCTTACTCTGCTAATATTCACAGTGCTCGTAATATATAATAATTTCAGAGCCCTGAATTATAATTCCAACTAAGCGATGGCTATTGAGTACATTTTGCAATATAGATTTATTATAGAATATATTTTTATTACTTTCTTATTTTTCCCTATTCATTGTCACTCTTTCATATTTGGAGTTTAGTATAATTGCACACAACTGTATTTCTACTAAAATATTCCATAGTTTATATTTTTGTTGTTGTTCTTGTTCATCTGGATGGGACTCCCCAAGTTTTATTCCAAAATAACAGCATTTATTTTAATAATTATTCCTATCCTAATTTCTTAAATGAAAATATTGAGGCTCAAACTATTGCGAGATTACATACTAAACCACACAGGTAGCATAGAATAGAAATCCTATTCTAGGGCTCCACAGACTTCAAATTGCTTATGTAAATGACTCATGTTTATTACTTACCTTCTCAGAGCCAATATACTGCAGAAGCATACTACTGTCATATAAAAAAGTGGTTACACATGACCTACATGCTCTAAAGCACACAGGTGCTTTAGAAGGAGAATACTTTACCATTTGATTTTTTAAATGTAGTGTTTTTAATGAACAGGGTAATATTGTTGGTCTTTTTCCAAAGATATAGTCCAAAAATTAATATTTTATTATAAAATCAGAAAGAAAAAGTTTATGGCTTGATGGCAAGTCCCTGAATTTAATTTCAACATCTGGTTTTCCACATTATACGAGGTACTTCAAAAAGTTTGTGGAAAAATAGAATTGAAAGATAAATGAATCTGCCCATGAACTTTTCGAAGCACCCTCCTATATGGGCACCAGTGACTGTGCCATTTTCATTTCTTCAGATTTCTTCTCTTCTACATTTCTCCCGTATTTAAAGCTCTGAGCATAGCTCTGAATTATTTTTGTCCTTTTTTCTCCCTGAACTGTGCTTCAAAACTTCTGTAAGTCATTTACTGCAAAGTCTAGAATCTCTCTTGCAAGTGAACTTACCGGGTGGACCGAATTGCCTTGGAATGGAAGGATTGTTAAGAAGTCAGTATGTTGCTAAGAAGTCTTGCTAATTTGCTGTATAAGTTGAATGGAGTGTCAGAGAATTCTCTCCCCTCGTGAACTTCAGAGGTGTGTGTTTTGATCTGTATCAGTGATTCTATTTGGATCAATTATTTTAAAGGTTGCAATTTCTTATCCACATGAATGTGGCACCTAATTATCCCCATAATCGGTTAAACAAATGTCTGCTTTTTGTGTTTCAACTCTTTCAGCCAATAACTGCTGGAAGTGATTTAATGCAGCTGGAGGAAAACACCAACAACCATGATAGCCTGCAAAGTGAGAAACAATTTCATTGTACTTCTGTGATCTCTTTTGTATGAGCACTGATAATGTTCAGCAGATGAGATTTGGAAAAAGCCCATTTTATTTTAATTAAAGAAATGGTGTAAAAGAGGGGTGAGTTCTGGGCCAGCTCAGTGCTGTTTATCTGGTGAGAGCTTGTTTTTCTAAGAATTCACTTGAAGCGTGGAAGGGAAATGCTTTCATCTGAAAGGGATTGTTGTTCGTTCAGATTTTTCCTCGCATCTGATAAAAACTCCTGCTGAGTGACAGCCCAGATGTAGCTCATTTGCAGAAAATGAAGGAAGAGGAGGAAAAGGCTGGGATGGAGCGAAAGGCTATTTAGTCATGCGTCCAAATTCCCGCGGGTCTTCCTCTTATTGCCCGGAAAGGCCCTAGTGTCCACCTGGGAAGTGCGATGCCCTCGCCTCTCGCCCTGCGCCGCTGCCTCCCGGGGGAGCTGTCCCCGTGCATGGACTCGCGGCCCTGCAGCAGCCCTTCCGAGCTCCCGGGGAAGGCGGGGAAGCTCTTCCTGGGGGCCACTCCTCCTCGGGCCCCACGGCTGCCTCGCCGGCTGGCCTGGTGCTCCATTGACTGGGAACAGGTGTGCTTGCTACAGAGGCTGGGAACTGGAGGCTTTGGCTCGGTGTACAAGGCGACGTACCATGGTGTTCCTGTGGCCATAAAGCAAGTGAACAAATGCACCAAGAACCGACTGGCGTCGCAGCGCAGTTTCTGGGCTGAGCTCAACATTGCGAGGCTGCGCCATGACAACATAGTGCGGGTGGTGGCTGCCAGCGCGCGCACGCCTGCGGGCTCTAACAGTCTAGGCACCATAATCATGGAGTTCGGTGGCAATGTCACTTTACACCAAGTCATTTATGGTACCATCGGCTACCCTGAGGAGGAGGCAGGGGAGCCTCACTGCTGCGCTGGAGAGCAATTAGGTCTGGGAAAGTGTCTGAAGTATTCCCTAGATGTGGTGAATGGCCTGCTCTACCTTCACTCGCAAAGCATCGTGCACTTGGACCTGAAGCCGGCCAACATTTTGGTCAGCGAGCAAGATGTTTGCAAAATTGGTGACTTTGGTTGCTCCGAGAAGCTGGAAGATCCGCTGTGCTTCCAGAGTCGCCCTTACCACCTGGGAGGCACATACACCCACCGAGCCCCCGAGCTCCTGAAAGGAGAGACCATCACGCCCAAGGCCGACATCTACTCCTTTGCCATCACTCTCTGGCAAATGACTACCAGGGAGGTGCCCTACTCGGGCGAGCGGCAGCACGTGCTGTACGCGGTGGTGGCCTACCACCTGCGCCCGTCCCTCTCGGCATCTGTCTTCACGGATTCTCTCGCTGGAAGTCGACTTGAGAACATCATCCGGCGCTGCTGGGGGGCCACTGCCCTGCACAGGCCCAGCGCAGAACTTCTCTTGGTGGATCTTAACTCTTTGAAAGCTGAATTTGGCTGACTCTGTCAAGATAAGCTTTTGTCTTTGTTTCCTTTTGTTTTTAAAGAAGCAAGATGTAGAAGAAAACATAAATGTAGGATGGATTTTTAGAAAATAAAGTTACTGAAAACTCCTTTCATCTCAAATGCTTTTTCTAAGATGAACAGCAGAGCTGCAAGTCTGACATTGGCTTAATACTATTAGTCAGTAACCTTATCCTTTATTCAGTTACATGCTTTGCTTTTCATAGCTCGTGTGCTTACTTGAACAGTTCCATGGTATTGCATTTACTCAAATTTACTACCGATACAACCAATTTGTCTGAAACAGAACTCCAATGCAGAAATGCCAAAATTTTCTATAAATTTACGTAATATAGACCCTACCTACCACCTAAATTCAAATTATTAACAGATTACTTGCTTCCATACCAAATCAGTAAAAACTTAAAAAAAAATGAAATGCCAAAATTTTCTATAAATTTACGTAATATAGACCCTACCTACCACCTAAATTCAAATTATTAACAGATTACTTGCTTCCATACCAAATCAGTAAAAACTTAAAAAAAAATTTTTTTCCTACTCCCCCCAATAGAACTTGTTTGTAATGGCCCTCACACACAAATTCCACAAATTGAGGTAAATTTATTTTTAATGGAATACTATATTGACTGTAATATTTTGAACTTTGCATTGACATCAGTAGAAAAATTCTGCTGACATACTTCTAAACTCTTTTACCTAGTATTTACTCTCAGAAGTACATGACAAAATAAAGATGATACCATGTGGAGAAAAAAGGATAACCCTGAGGAAAGTGAGATTTAGCATTTGGATGGAGGACAACAAAGTAGAACGAGGTGGCCCACTCTAGATGTTGAGATGGTGGGTGCTGGTACATAGGGCTTCAATAAAGAGGGGACTGGATCTTGTCGTTGGGACAACTTCGGCTTTCTTTTAGCAAGAGCAGTTTCAGTGAGTGGTAGAAGGCAAGGCCAGTTTGATGGCCCTGAGAGCCGGTGGCGAGGGCTTGAGGTAGAGGTTGTGCATGAGCTTGAAGGAAAGAGGGAGAAGCAGAAGGCTTAAAAGGGAGTAATAGACACAGAAATGGTTTTGAATTTTTGGTTTGATTTTGTTTAGTTTTAGGATGAAGAAAGTAAGCTTCTAAGTGGGAAGAAGTCAAAGGAGACAAAGATAATTGATGACATTTTAAAACTTGCAGAAGAGAAGAAGTGTAGCACCTAGAGAAAGAGATTGTAGGCTTGGAGAGAAAGGGCATCTCTTCCCAGGGTGGGAGTCAAGGAGGGGGGGACAACTACGATTACAGATAAGTCTACAAGTGGAAAAAGGGAGTCTGGGGAAGCCAACATCTGTGAACTTCTATTTTTTCTGTTAACAGTGGTTGAGGGTAGGGGGTTGACAGTATGAGACCATGGTCTAGTACTGTTCTTGAGGGAAGCAAAAGGGAGCTGTCTGTGGCCATGGGAAACATAGGCAGAGTGCTGCTAACTCTGTCCAGGTAGTTTGAGGAACAAACCATTCATAAACCAATAATTCCTTCCTGTGTTATTATAGGAGTTCATGTTGGTAAATATAAAATATGATCAATTTTTAAAAATTACAATGGATTAGTTTTGTTCAACCAAGTGTGTAAAAATGAGATTCAAACTATGCTGAATACCTCATTAACAAACTGTCAATGATCTACACGATAATTCCCTGTTAAAGGTGTTACAATCCAGATTTCCACCCTGGTCATGGCTTAGATTCAAAAATCTTCCCTTCTCCTGGAAACCACACAGAGTGACAAGACAAAGAAGGAGGAATAAACCCCGTAAACTCCATAGTCAGTGAAAGTAGCATACATAGAAAAAACAAACTCCAAAATATGTACATTGATGTCTGGACAGAGCCCCTTGAAAGAGTGCAGGGAGCAATAGGGGATAGCTCAGGGGGAATGGAGGGACTCATAGTGACAGATCCTGGAAAGACCTGCAAAAATTGATACCTGGTGAACAGGAGCCCACTGAAAGTGCAAACGTTGGGGAGGGAACTCCTGAGAACAGGGCTGAGATCAAACAGAACTGAACTTACAAGTGCTGGTAGAAATAGAAGAAATGGAAGGTGTTGAAGAGGGTCCAGCCATGGTAGAGCTCAGAAAGTGGCAGCAAAACTCAGCTCCTGAATGTGCGAGGGTCACCCTGGGGGGCGGGGCCAGGGAATGCAAGAGAGGCTGAGAAGCGTCCTGACCTGGTTTGCTTCAGAGAGAGAAAAAGTTGCAGCTGCATGGAGACACCCGCAGAAATGCCATATTTGAAGGAAACAAGCAAATGAGGGAAGTCTTTGACTTGCAGGAAGACCACCCTGATGGGAGGCAGAACAAGAGCATGGATGGTCCGTTTGTAATCGCTTACAGTCGAATGATATGACGTAAAGGTAACGAATCAAGTCAGAGTTACAGCACATTTTTTTTTTTTTTTTTGTCTTTTTCCGTGTCCGGCAACAGATCGCAACCCTCAGTGTCGCCCCCGTACCGGACCGGGACCGGCAACGGGATCGCAACCCCCGGTGTTGCTCCCGCGCCTTGTTCAGCCAGTGAGCGGGAACCGGTCTGTATGTGGGATCCGAACCCTCGGGCGGGAGCGCCGCGGCGCTTCCCAAGCAGCGCACTATCCAGTGCGCCACCGGGCCGGCCCGTTACAGCACATTTAACAATACAAAGATAAATATTAAGAAAGATCATACTATTGACTTAAGTTACATGGGGACGGGGCGGGGGGAGCCGGGAAGCGATACAAGCTGTCAGAGCTGTCATTGCTCATAAAAGTAGCGAGTAGATATTGCCTGCGATTAAGGAAATTATGTACAGGCAAATGATAGAACAAAAATACAACGAACACCCAAAACCTAAAAATAACAGAGACCAAGTTGAAATTTTAACAAAATTAGAAAAGAAAAAAACCCATTTACCTGGGAATTTTCAAACTCTTAAGCAACTGTATATCCAAAAAAAAAAAAAAATGCTAATCAAAACTCTAAGAATTCCACAGAGCAACAATATTGAAAACAATCATATTAGAACCCATAGTTAAAGATGAAGTAGAAAGGGCCGGCCCGGTGGCGCACTGCTACAGTGTGCCGCTTGGGAGCGTGGTGGCGCTCCCGCCGAGGGTTCGGATCCCACATACAGACTGGCTGCTCACTGGCTGAGCGAGGTGCGGGCGCAACACCGAGGGTTGCAATCCCGTTGCCGGTCCCGGTCCGGTATGGGCGCGACACTGAGGGTTGCGATCCGATGCCGGTCACGAAAAAAAGACAAAAAGGAAAAAAAAAAAAAGATGAAGTAGAAAAAAATTCAGTCTCAAGTAGTAATATGACTAAAAAAGAAATAATAAAAACAAGTGAATTAAGCACAAGTCAAAATTAAGAAAAGAACAAAACATTAGGGAAAATTTAAAAAACAGCAATTAAAGCATACATAATGAATTCAAAGAAGTAGAACAAGTTAATGCATAAATAAATCATTGAATAAAAATCACTAAAACAGATAAACCACTAACTATTTTAAAAGAAATAAAATCACATATATACAAAATTAGCAATAAAAAGAGAATATGATCAAAACAGAGGACTTTTTTTTTAAATTTTAGGAGATAACTTTACATAACTATAGAAATAAATTTGAACATCTAGAACATGTAACTTTCTAGAAAACCATAATTTACCAAAACTGGCCCCAATGAAGATAAAAAGTCTGAACAGACAAGTTTCTATAGCAGAGATAGAGGGGACTGCCCAGTCCCTCCCTCCACAACCCACAGGCATTCAGCCCAAATTCCCACTGACTTCTACCAAACCTTAAAGGCCAGGTAATCTTGATGCTACTTAAATTATTTCAGAGCACAGAAGGAATATTTCTAAATTCTTTTTAAGAATAACGTTTTAACAAACCTGACAAAGACTGCTTTAAAAAAAGAAACTACAGACCAATCTTATTTAAACTATCAGTGTAAAAGTTCTAAGTAAATACTAGCAAGCAGAATCTAACAGTTATTTTAAAAATCATGAACATGATCTTTTTACTCTATGGGTTTCTTCCAGATGCAAGGATGATTCAATATTAGAAAATATTCACTTATCACATTAATTGGTCAAAAGAGAAAAATAAGAGAGTGTGCTAAGAAGATATTTGATAAAATTAAACATTTATTCCCAACTTTAAAAAAGAGACTCAAAGAAAAAGGAATCTATGAGTAATTCCTTAATCCAATTTTTAAAAACTTACACATAACCAATGTTAATTATTTTGGTTTTTATAAGTGTATTAAGGTCATATAAGATGTTAACATTAGGGAAAGCTGAGTAAAGGATATACAAAAATTCTCTGTACTATCTTTGCAACTCTTCTATATTTCTAAAATTATTTCAAAATAAAAAGTTAAAAACTTATAAACACACAGACATTGGAGGCATTCCCACTGAAAACAGGAATGATATGAGAACACCCAATACTTGCCACTATGATTTAACATTTTATTGGTCAAAGATATTCACAAAGAAAAATTGAAGTCTAAAAATTGTGACGAGAGGAAAAACAAATTCTGTCTGCAGATTCTATTTTTGGTATGTATACCTAAAAAGAAAAAGAAAAAAAAAAAACAAGGATTAATAGAAAAACTAACTCAAACAGTAAGAGAATTGTGTTAGGTAGCAGGACATAAAATTAACATAGAGAAATCAATAGACTACAAATATGTAAACAAAAACCAGCTAGAATTTATCAAAAAAAGGGATTCCTTTTTTAAAAAAAAATAGATCATTTATTATACATATTTATAGTTGCATACAATGTGTGATAGTCAAATCATCATTACAGTACGTAATCATTCTTTTATCTGTTAGCCAATTTCTCATTAACCCGCGTCCCCCTCCCCTCCAGTTTTCCACCTCTAGTAACCACAGTTTTTCCCTCCCCAAGAAAAGAATTCCTTTTACAATAACAATAAAAGAGATAACATA